CAGCTGAGGTCCTCTGACTATCTACGTCCCCCTCCCCAGCAGCTGAGGTCCTCTGACTATCTACGTCCCCCTCCCCAGCAGCTGAGGTCCTCTGAATATCTACGTCCCCCTCCCCAGCAGCCTGCTGGTGATAGATGTTTAACTGGCTCTCCAAAAAGCCCCGATTAGCAGCATTTCTCGATGGTAACTGGCCACTCCTACAGTGGCCAATTTTAAGTAACCCCGGAGATGTCCCTGAACTTCAAGCTGGGGGAAAAAAAATGTGCCAAATCAGGTTTCCCAAACAGGTCCAAGACTCTAATGCCCCCAACATGGAAAATTCTGGAAGTCCTTTCCACTTGTCCTGTCTTCAGAACCCAGGAAAAACAGCTGCTCATTTCTTTTATATTAAAAAAAATGACGTGAAGGCCCTTTGAGATGGTAAAAGTTATACATACATGGAGTTAATCAAACACACTGGCTCTCATCTCAGAACCCACTCCATCTAAGTTTATAATTTCCCAGCCATTGCCATCATCTAATTCAAGGCATCTTGACTCTTACTCTGACCCTCTAGTAACAAATACCCATCCTGACCTTCACCTTCAGCCCATCAGGCCAACTTAGCCCTAATTCAGAACTCACAGATAGCTATCAACTTCTACTTCTTCTCTGAACTATTGGTACAGCTGCCAGGAGGGCTGGTCTGGGCTCAGAGGAAAGTGTGCTGTGACTGGTCAGCAGTGTCTGCCTTGGCCTTGGCCTTGAGAAGCAGGTGGGGACTCTCGGGTCTTAATTGAACCTCTTCTGCTCGTTGGTTCAGCCTCGGATCATCCTCACTTTGGCTCCTCTGCAAGACCACCTGCTCCCCACCCCTCCCCGGTCCCAGAGCCTGCTCAGGTGCCCTCCTGGCCTTCAGTACCTGTGTGCACCCTATAGTGCGTCTCCAGCTGGTGCTTGAGGCTGAACTTCTTGCCGCAGCCATTGCACTCGTAGGGCTTCTCGCCCGTGTGGATGCGCTTGTGGCTCTTGAGTGTGCTCTCATCCCGGAAGCAGCTGCCACAGAACTCACACTCGTATGGGTGATCACCTGTGGAGACAAGGGGCTGCATCAGGCCTTCACCTCTCCCTGCCTCCTCTTCCGGGGATGGAAGGGCACCTTCAGTGCTTCTGGAGGATGAGACTGCCTGTATTCACCACCTGCAAAGACGAATTAAGGACCCACAGCCTCTGCAGGTCCCCACAGCATGAGCAGGGAGTGTTCACACATGTCCACACTTCACTGAGGCCCAGCAGTCATCTGTAGGGCAAAGGCCAGTCCAGGGAAAGGAGGGCCCATGTGGTTCAGCAATGATCAGCAGAACCCAGAACAGAGGAGCCTGGGGGCTTGAGACTTGACGCTCTCGCTTCTCAAACTGCCTCTTCTTCCCCTCCTCTAAGTCAAGGGTAAAAGTTGCTCCAGCCTGACTTCCCTGCCTTCCAAAAAAAAAACCTTTCCAATTGGTGGAACTTCTCATTGTCCCTTAAATACCGTCTACTCTTTCTTTCTTTCCTCCATAATTTTAATACAACTGTCTCCTCTGCCTGATTTTCTCTTTTTCTCCCTGTTGAACTCCTAATCACCCGTCAAAGCCCAGCTCAAACATCACCCCTGTTTGAAAGCTTCCCTTTAGTCCCCCAGGTGGAATGGGTTACAGTTCTTTCCTCTGTCCCCCAAAGTGAAGAAACATCTAGCATTCTGTTCTTTTTTTTTTTTTTTGAGACAGAGCCTCAAGCTGTCCCCCTGGGTAGAGTGCCGTGGCATTACAGCTCACAGCAACCTCCAACTCCTGGGCTCAAGCGAGTCTCCTGCCTCCACCTCCCAAGTAGCTGGGACCACAGGCGCCCGCCACAACGCCCGGCTATTTTTTGGTTGCAGCCGTCATTGTTGTTTGGCGGGTCCGGGCTGGGGATTCGAACCCGCCACCTTAGGTGTACGTGGCTGGCGCCTTAGCCGGTTGAGCTATAGGCGCCGAGCCCATTCTGTTCTTTTTATGGCACTCTCACATCAAGGTGGCCCACATTTGCCGAGCGCTCACTCCTCTGCTGAACTATTGGTACGGCTGCCAAGGGGGCTGGTCGGGGCTCACGGGAAAGTGTGCTGTGACTGGTCAGCACATCACATGATCATGGTGACACTCTGAAAGAAAGATATTACTTTCATTTCACAGATGCGGAAAATGAAAAGCGTACAGATGCTTCAACATCATCTCCAAGGTCAGTGAGTAAAAAGTTGAGCTGGGATTCAAGCTGAGGTCTGGATCCACAGACCAGATTGCTAGGGGGACACACTGTTACTATATTTACCAGCAGGCCCGACAGAGCCATAGAGAGAAAGCAACTCAAGGTAAGGAGGAAGCCCATCCACCTGGAAGCCTCAGCGCGTGGCAGTGATGGCCCAGAAAGACACGTGGGAAACGCTGGGTATATGATGTTTGCGGAGAATCAACTTTTCCTGGTCTGGAGTCTAGGCCCGTCAGCATCCTCTTGGGGTATCTGTTCTTAAATCCCCAACCGGGAGAGGTTGGGGTGTATGGATGAACCATCTCGCCTTCTGTACCCATAGTGGGGAGCTTGGGGGATGAAAGGTGAGGGCTCCAGCTACTTATTTATTACAGGAGTGAAGGCGCAGACAATAAAGATAGATTGATCACCCCAGACTTTGTTCATGAATATTTAAATATCGCTGATTCGTCTTGTCACTGTAATTACAATTTCTCTGGGCTGCATCTCCAACAACCACAGTTTATGGTAAAGAATGGCCCACTGTATTTCACTCGCCCCTCTGCAGATGTGCGGGGCTGCCAACCGTGTAATGCCCTCTGCATTTCATACATTTTCTTCAGCTGCTGAAGGTTTAAGTCATCCACAATGACCTACGTTTTTTCATTATCCCCATGTCAAACTGCGCTCGTGCCTGGGCATAAATTGTCCTTCTCGTTATAGACTCACATGCCTGCGCCTTCTCTTCCTCTTTAAAATGATATTTTACTCTCTCTGCTTTCTCTCCTCCTCGGGCTGCTAACCAAACCTCCCCCTGCCCTGAAGGCAGGCCCCTGTCCCCACATAAATTCTTACCTCTTCTGATGGCTTTGAAGGGTTTTTAAGGCTCTGTGGGGAAGTGGTGTGCTGGGGTGTGTTCACTGGATGACTTCCTTGTGGGTGGAAGATTTGCAAGAAACATTAAAGGTGTGGGGGTGGGGGGACAGGACCTCCACTGGGGAATCCGGCTGGAGAAGCTCAGAGAGCCGAGTCCTCCCTTAACACCAGTACACCCCAATTTAGGAGGCACAATCCTAGCTCAGAAGCATGGCCGGTGAGTCCTGTCCGTGCAGATTTGGGGATAGACTGAGTCCTAGAGTTCTCAGCCTGAGCTATGGGGACTGCCTGGCGACCCAGCCCCATCAAAGCCAGGGGGAGTGGAGGCCCAGGCAGACCCAGGTACTAATTAGCTGTGTGTGTGACGGAGCATGGGTCAGTCTGTGTGTGCCTGTGCCTGGATGCCACTCTCTCTGTGTGCGTCTGTGCTTGTACAGGGCCCTGTCTAGTATGACATCCAGCTCCCCCTCCTCACCAGATCGGCAACGATTACGACTTTAATCAAAGATTCAGTATCCTCATTAAGATATAAATAAATAAATAAAGCAAGGGCCACGTGAGACTTTCAGCCGGAGCCAGTAATTAAAACGTACATCGGCAGCCACCCAGCCGGGAGGGGAAGGCGGTGAGATGGGGAGGGGGTGCCGCCTGTACCTTTCACCTCCAGAGGAGGGCCCTGAGAGTTTAAAAAACAAAGGGTTAAGACAGAGGGGTTTGTTTGATCAGATTTTTATGAATTTAATTAGAAAGTGGATCACATAATAAATGAGTTTAAAAGAGAAATCTCCTGAGTCTGCCCAGGGAAAGAAATAAAAAGAATTTAGAAGAAAGAAAAAAGAAAGTCACCAACACACACACACACACACACACACACACACACACGCACGCACAATCCTCACCCAGATTCTGAAGCATGGCGACCACCTGGCCTGAACCCCTGAGGGTTAATCGTGTCAGTGTTGCCATAATGTACACAAAACTGGCTGCAGAACTCAAAATCCAATTTGTGGTATGTTGATTAACTCTGTAGCCTCTTTAATGAGCTTGACATTAAGTGCAGGACAAACGAGACTAATTAGAGCCCCCTCCGGCCTGCACAGTGCACCTGTGACCCCCTCAGCCCCCAGTCTGTCCTTACTTGGCGGTTTCTCTGGCTCTGGCCAAGCCTGGTGTCCTTGTCCTCGCTGTTGTCATCCCCACCGGGCCCCATCTCTTCGGTTCCTCAGGCCCCTCCCTCCAAGCCCCTCCCATCAGCACAGCTGAGAGTTTATTATATGATGAGCCGTGTGAAGCAGGGATCCATCAATGCCAAGAGCACGGCTGGACTAACCTACCAAACGCAGCTGCCGATGCTAAACGCCCGGCCCAGCAGCAGACGGGCCAAGAACACAGAATATTAATGAGCCATTGTGTGGGGGGTGCACAGCCTGTATCCGGCTTGTGTGCACAGCACCTCGCTGGTGCGAAACCCATGGGTGTCTGTGTGCATGGGTTGTGAGTGTGTTCCACGTTTCCTATAATAAGCAAGGGCTTCTCTCAAACTCTGGAAATAGTCCCTCCTCACAGAGCTGAGCCATGACTGACACAAGGGCATGTGACATTTAGATATCTGAGTCTTAGAAAGTAGCACAGGGAGATCAGGGTGTGTCAGGGCGGATTTCACAGGGTTGGGAATGTTCCTATCACATAAAGCAAATTGATCTGACTCCACCCTCTGGGACCTCCCCCTGTCCCATCCCAGTAGTTTCAAGCAGTTTTGAGCAAATCTGGTGGTGCTAAGGTGCTGCCTGGGCAGAATGGCATCTGGAAGAGAGAGACCAGGCTGGCTCATTGGGGAAGAAGCCCACTGCTGGCAGACAGGCCAGCTCAGCCCTCCCTTACACTTGTATAAGGCCTGGCCTTCCACTCAGTGCCTGAGCTGCAATAAGACTCAAGAATGGGCAGAGAGAGCGGGCCTTCCATGCCTCTCTGAGGCACAAAGCGGCTTTCCAACTTTTCACGCTCTCCAGCAGATGCACGCACACACACTATTTCACACCCACGGCAAGACCTGGCCCCTGTCAACAGGGCACAGGACACACACAAGCAGACTCAGGAACACGGGCATTCCTTTACCCTAGAACACTCCAAAGAGCCGCAATTCTGTCTCAGAGAAATGAAGGAATTTAAGTCATCTATTCTCTTACTAGGGGAACGCCCAGGGCCTGTTTTAAGGAAACATGCCTCTGGCCCTCAGGGACCAAGTGTCATCCCCAAACCTAGAGGATGGCGGCAGGGAGTGGCCAGGACCTGGGCCCCTGGCCAAGCCACCTTAACTCCTAACCCCTCACTCAGCCCATGCTCTGGAACTGGCTGAGCAGGGTTGTTTCATGGCCCTCAGTTTGAATACCCTCACTGTCTTCCCTAAACAAGTTCAAGGCCCCAGTGGAGGCCTTCTACTACGGAGAAAGGAGAACCTCCTCTTCAACATGCCCTGGAAAGCCCGCAGCTGACTCAGGAATGTGTGTGGACGGGAGGGATGGGGCACACACAGCAAGAGACCAGGCAGGTCAGTTTTTCTCAAAATGCCTTCTGGGTCCACCCGCATCAGAATACTTATTAATAATGCTGCCATTTGAATCCCATCCCAGACTCAAGGAACCAAACCTTCTGAGGATGAGACCCTAGAATCTGCATTCTGAATGAGCACACTCTATACCGGGCATAGAAAGATTTCGAGCCAACAGGTCACAGGAGGGGCTGGGGAGAAGAACTGTCTACATGGACCTGCAGGGCAGGAAGCCCCAGATGTCTACCCCTTGAGCAGAGGTGAGCTGAGGGCTGACTCTGCCTGGCACCTCCACTTTCTGTCTTTGGAGGTACATCAGACATTGGCTCCCAGAGACCCCGTCCGCCATCACCCCACTGGCCTACCTGTGTGTGAGCGCAGGTGGCGCTTGAGGGCCGTGTGGCTGGGGAAGGTGCGGTTGCACTCGCTGCAGATGTAGCTGCGCACGCCCGCGTGGACCTCCATGTGCTGCTGGAGCGCACTCTGCGCCTGGAACCGCTTCCCACACAGCAGACAGAAGACAGCCATGTCTGTGCCTGCGGGAGACAGGAGAGGGCAGCCTCAGGAGGGCGGAATCCCAAGGCCGAGTCTTTGCTCATCTAGAACAAAAGCCAGCTTCAGACTGACACCTCCGAACTCCCACATGGGGGGCAAATCTCGAGAGGGCCTTGGCTATGCAAAGCTGATACAGCACCCAGCAGGTGATCCCTCGGTGGACAGAATCCTCTTCGGAACCTGAAGTCTAGTGGGAGGAAGACATTACAACACATCTCAAGGGCAAGTGTAAGAGTGCAAGTGCGCCAGAAGCTATTAAGAGAAGCAGGGGACGAAAGGCACGTGTCAGGTGCAGGTCACTGAGGTGGGGAGCCCAGCCGGACCCTGCAAGGAGTAACAGTAACAGAGACAAAGAGTGCCAGGTATTGTCTAATAATAATGATACCAATCTACAAAGGCAGGTTCTACTATCCTCATCCTTCAGATGAGGAAACTGAGGCATGGAAAGATTAAATAACTCATCCAAAGTCCCACAGAATTCCTAAGTGGCAGAGCTAGGATTCATGCCTAGGCAGTCTGGATTTTAATCCTTTCCCAAAGCTAACTATAGATCCTGCTTTTTTAAACCACTTCTCCATTTGCTATAGCTTGAATCTTAAGGACCCCTTCACTCACCAAGTATCACTTGGTACTTTCTACAAAGTAGGACTGTCCTTTTGGCCCTGGGCAACAGAACCATGGAAGAACCTACAAAAGTCTCTGCTTTCATCATTGAAGATAGAACAGTGTCTGTGAACACCCTGGGCTGTAAAGAAATTCGGCAGATGGGGGATCACATGGGAATGACGTTGTATGGCTGGGGAGGCAAAGAGGAAGGCAGGCAGGGGCCAGGTCATGTGGAGTCTTCAAAACCATGTCAAAAGCTGTAGGTTTCATCCCATGCCCAATAAGCAACAGTCAAAGAATTTTAAGCTGGCCAGTGACATCAGTTTTCATTTGATTCTGTCTGACTGTTTCCAGTGCTGACCAGTAGCACAGATTCCCCCAGGACCCCACAAGTGCAGGCTGCTGTGTTTGTTACCTGTCCACTGCCAAGGCCGCTCTAGAGCCACAGCTTTGCTGGCTGTAGCACCCCATGCAGAAGGCTCTCACCTGTCATCTGAGTCCTCACTGGCAGCTCCCTGCCCACCACTGTGGACTGTTTCCCTAGACAAGGGGTCCTCAAACTTTTTAAACAGGGTGGCCAGTTCACCAGCCCTCACACCATTGGTGGGCCGAACTGTGGGCCCCAGGACGAGTCGGCTGCTAAGCAGGACAGGCAGCAGCGGCAAAAACACCCCGTGGGCCAGATAAATGTCCTTGGCAGGCCGCATGTGGCCCGCGGGCCATAGTTTAAGGACACCTGCCCTAGGCTCATCTGCTGGTTTCTCTGTGAGGGCATCTGGGAACATCTCTTGTGTGTGCAAGAAGGGAAGGTGGGTGGGCCTACTACCCGTCAACCTACTCCAAAGTGCAGGGAGGGTGATAGATATGGCTGCTGGAAGCCGTGGGCCGCTTGGTTTGGAGTCAGGGAACTTCTGGTGGAAGGTGGGGGTGAAGAGAAGGGAAGTCATGATGGTCTCACTGCCTTCTCAGCCCACTGGTACAGACAGCAAGGGAGTAGTCCGTGGTCTGGTCCTCGCCACCTCAGACCTATTCATGGCCAGCTTTGGGATGGACCAGTGGGAAGGTAAGGCCTGCCTCTCTTTTCCTCCACTCCTCTGCCCCTCACCTCCCACTACTCCATTTGCAGATACTAAGGTCAGGCCCCTGGAGCCGCGCCCATCCCACCTGCAGTCGGGAACGGTGAATGGAGCAAATACAGGCCTGGTGCTAGGTGCTTCATTGATCTTGTCCTCTCATCTAAAACTTCCGACCCTAAAAGGCAGACACTCTTAACCTCCTTTTGCAAATGGGAAAACAGATTAAATAAACTGCCTAAAGTTGCACACTTAGAGGCAAAGTTTAAATCTGGAAATAACTTGATTTGATTTCAGAAACCATGAGGTTGGGCCCAATTTCCCTCCAGGCCAGACACCTGCCTATCTGGGCATCCCCTAGTAGGGGCCCGGTTGGGACTGTACAGAGTGCTGATGCATCCAGCAATGGTGTGAGAACCCTGGGCCAGGGGAATGGACAGGCAGCTGGGCCAGGTTACGAGGCACAGCTCTCTGAAACCTTCCTCCCTGCTGGGAATGTGGTCTGCCCCGGCAGAGGCAGCACCCAGAGATGACAGGGAGTCCCTTGAGGTCCAGCCCACTGGGCCCACGTGCACAGGAGTGGAGTCCATCTGTAACATGCTATGTGCTCGGCAGGCCCTGCTGCCTCAACCTGAGGCCCACAGTGCTGGTCTCCTCTCTGCCCTTAACACCCACCCCCATGAGAGCCCTGATTAGGCCAGGTGTTCAAACAGCTGCCTCAAATCAGTAAGATGGAGCCAGCTTCCCAGGCAAGCCGTGCCCCGTACAAGCCAAGACTTCCCCTTACCCATCCTCAGAGACCCCCAGCATGGAGGGAACTCAGGTCAGAGGGGACATGAATGGCATCCCTGGTAGGACCCTACAGTAGTCTGCCTTCTTGCTCTTCCCAAGGCCCCTCGAGGCTGCCCTATTTTGCTGCCCCCGTCTGAGGATGGCCTGAACCCACTTCATGTCCATTCCCCTGACTTGCTGAACCTACACCAAGTGCAGCATTGTGCTAAGTGACCAGGAGACTGGCTCCCGCACTCATCGGGGATGCCGACCAGTCAACAACCATCCAGAGGGTAAGACAGCACCCAAAGGGCTCCAGAGAAGATTCTGAGCTGGGCTTTGAGAAATAAAGCATATCTGAGAAGCGAGGACTGGAAGGTGGGGCACAGGTGTAGGCTAAGGAGACACTGAAGGCGAATTTCAGAGCAGGTAGGGAAAGGGATAGGCCCTGGGCTGGCTCCCAGGTAGGACAGACTGAACTGCATTCTGCAGGCAATGCAGTGCCACCAAGGGGATGCAGGTGGCTAGGGTCCTAACGTCTGCCCACAACTCCTATTGTGAAATTCTAAGGGCTCGGCACCTGTGGCTCAAGTGGCTAAGGTGCCAGCCACATATACCTGAGCTGGCAGGTTCGAATCCAGCCCAGGCCCGCCAAACAACAATGATGGCTGCAACCAAAAAATAGCCAGGCATTGTGGCAGGTGCCTGTGGTCCCAGCTACTTGGGAGGCTGAGGCAGGAGATTCACTTGAGCCCAGGAGTTGGAGGTTGCTATGAGCTGTGATGCCAGGGCACTCTACCCAGGGGGACAGCTTGGGCCTCTGTCTCAAAAAAAAGGAATTCTAAGCCCCAGTGTGTCAGGATTAGGAGGTGGGCCATGAGCATAAGCACCCTCGTGAATAGGTTTAGTGTCCTTATAGAAAGAGTCCCCAGAGAGCTAACTGGCCCTTTCTACCATGGGAGGACACAGTGAGAAGTCAGCACCATGCTGGCACCCTGAGCTCAGATCTCCTGCCCCCAAAACTGTGAGAAATCAATGTTTCTAAGCCACCTAGACGCAGGTAATCGGTTACAGCAGCCTGGTCTAAAACAGGTTGTTAGTGGCACGATCCACCGTGGATTTGAAGGCAATGCCTCTGGGCATGAGCAGTGGTGGCCAAGTGGCAGGAAGCAGGAGAGGGCATCTGGCTTTTGTGCTATTACCAGAGACGGGTGGAGACCAGACAAGAGCAGAGACTGTAAAGACAGGGGGTCAGATGGAGAAGCAAAATCCTGGGGAGGCAGGACATTAGGACGGGTGCTTGAGCTACAATGGGAAGAGTGTTTCCAGATGGCCTGCTCTGAACTTGGCCGGCAGGTTTAAAGTTCTATGTGCTGATGCTCCTACAATGGTCCATCTCCCCTTCCCAGGACATGTCACCGGTGTAGGGGCTCGCCCTGGCCACTTATCCACCAACCACAGCTCACACGGGAAGAACAGGGGCTCTGAGGTTCTCCATCCACTTAGCCCATTCTTCTGCTTAGAGACCAACACTCGTGATGATGGAAAAGTATTAAAAAAAAAAAAAAAAAAAAGAGGAAAGGGGGGGGAGGAGGAGATGAGACACAAGGAAAGCTATTGGTGCATGTAAGTTAAAAATCTAGAGACTAGATTTGAGTTATTAAACAATTTGCTGCCATTTCTGCCTAGCTGATTGTTGGCATGTATGATGAGTCAGGGCAGATTCTATTACACTGGGAGATTAAGCAAATAAACGCTAGCTTTTGGAAACACATTAAAATGTGGGACTATGGAAATAAAATTATCTAGAAAATTGTATTAGCAATTCATTAGCTGCTGTGAGATGTGCGGGAGGGCAAGGGGGCCCAGCAGCGCTGGAACATTCTGTTCCCTTCTACGCCTGAGTTCCATCCTCCACTATGTACAGACATCAGGCTTGGTACCGCTGGGGAGAAAAGAGGAGCTCCAACCAGGTGAACAAGACCTTCAGAAATCATATGGTCAACTTGACGCAAGGGGAAAAAAAAGCACGGGGTCCTGGCTCTGCCACCCACTTCCTTGTGACCCTGAGCAAATAATCATTTAACTTCTCTGGATCCGAGTTTACCTCCCATTTGCCATAGTGCTTGTGGCTGTTGTGAACATCCAATGAGATACCCACGTGAGGAAGCTCTATAACCATCAAGTGATCACAGAGCCCATGCCTTTGTCTGAATCATAAAATCATGTCTCTTCCTCTGGGCAGACAACAGACTCTCACCTGGGCATACATTTTTGGTGAGAAAAAAAGAGGGCTGGATTTCAGCCTCCGTTTCCTTCTCTGCTAGGCATCTCGTGCAGAGAACAATCATGAATCACGGCAGTCCTGCACTTTAACAAGCCTAAGTTGTTTTATCGACTCCGGCTGCTTCTAAGAAGCTGGTCCTAGGGAAGGTATCTTGGATGAGTTACACCACTTAGGACTCAGTGCCAAGAATGCCATCTTCCTCGGAGCTCTGACTTTTGCAGCATATAAAACCCTTTATTGCATT